TAATATATCTTTAAAAATTATTTAATTACATTATTGTCATAATAATTATTTTAAAAATTATTTTTTGAATATGAGTACTTTCTTTAATTACTTATTTACCTCCATCTTCTTTCCCCTTTGTCTTATCCTCCCATTCCTCCGACCTTTTTTTCACCTTTGCAAATCAAAGATGGGTTCTCACGAAGCTAGGCGCTGGAATCCAAAGGCATGAAACAGTAGCAGATTTCCAAAAATGACAAAAGTATGTTTAAAAAGTAAAAATGATAAGATCATATTCGATGGCATGAAATTAATCGCCGACCAATACAACAGGAGATTACTACCTCGTAAAGAAGAGATTCAAGTCCAAGTATAACAAATTAACATTCTGATTATTTTTGAAGAAAAGTTAAATTAGATTCAAGATTAGAACACTTCCATTACAGATTCAAAATTGAGAACACCCAAACCAGACATCAAATCAAGAACAACCAAGGTTGGAAAATTAATTATTCCAGATTTTAACTAACTCGATTGAAAAACAGAGATTCAACTTCTTCTGTTAAACAATCTGAAATTCAACAATGATAATAATATATCATGAAATCGAAACAAGAGATATCCCGACGGCGATCAAGAAAAAAGAAAACTGGGTTCCTCGAGGAAACCAGAAACTGGGTTCCCCGTGGAACCCAGGAAATTTTAATTTGAAGATGATGGCAAATAGGATTCGAAGGATGAGGATGAGGAGGAGGAGTATGAGGAAATGAGAGAAGGAACAAAAAAGATAAGAGTTTAAAATTAGTTTTAGTTATATTCATTTAATTTATGAATTAAAAAATAAAATTTTTAATGTACATACATTGAAACAATTAATATTCCACTATTAAAGTTCTATTTTTTAAGCAATTACCTATAAGCAAGATGAGCCTTGTCGGTGAAAATATTTTCACCGACAAGGTTCATCTTGTTGATGTCTAATTCCCTCAAAAAGGAAATTTAACTTTCAGTAAGGTTAAATAACTAATTTAATCCTTGAACTTTCAATTTTAAACTAAGTTCATCCTTAAACTTAGTAAATTATCGAATTTTTCCTTAAACTTTATTTTTTTTTTGTTGCCAACTTGATAATTTTCCTTAAAATTTAAATTTAATTAACATTGTAAAATGATAATTATTTAATTATATATGTTATAACTAATTGATATTATTTAATTATTTAATTAATTACATAAATGACCAAGTTTGATTGTATATAGAAGGATTTTACTAGATAATCATAAGAAAACAAGAGAAATTGGAAAAAAAAAACTGAACATAAGTAAGGTAATGATATTACGGTTCTTGAATGGATCGTAATTTTTGAATGGATCGTAATTTTTGAATGACAGCATCCCAATACTTTTTTTCAAATGTAAGACGCCTATCATTACCAAAAATCTTTGTAATTGTTTTTGAGGACTCAACAGGGGTTTTGGGTGGATCTGATAGAAATGGTGATTGATAACGATTTGAGCAAAATTTTGTAATATAACCCTTACGATTACACAGTTGACAAGTTACAGTATATTGGTGTGGGCAAACTGTAGCTACATGTCCAGGAGTATCACATATTTGACAAACAAAGTAGTCTACAATATTAGGCAATGGAATGTGTTGGTCACTTGATACATTATTCTTTGCTTTTTTCAACTTTCTCTTGGGAGAACTTTGAGATGGGTAATTCCATAATGATTCAAGAGTATCCTCAATGATTCATGTGTAAAATGATATAAAGTTAAATAATATGATAGTAAATAGGATGCACGAACGGGAAATGAGAAATAAGGGAAGGAAAAAAAAAAGTATACCATCATATTAGCTGTTAAAATATTCTTGACTTTCCAATTGGTTGTCAAAATAATCTTCACTTTCCAATTGGTTGTCAAAATATTCTTGATTTTCTAATTGGCTATCAAAATATTGTTGACTCTCCATTAAGCAACAGAAAAAAGAGTTTTGAAATTTATAAAAGCTATTACTTTTAAATTATAATATAAAAATAATTACATGGAAATGAAAAAAAGTGAATTGCAAAAGTAAGGGAGAAATAGCAAGAAATTAAAAAGTGTGTGCATAATGGTTGGGGAAGGTATATATATAATGGCTTTGGCCAACCATCGGTCAAAGAGGTTAATATCATTAACATATTCCTTGTTGCTGATATTTGGTTGATAAAAAGATAAGAATAGTAGCAACATGGTATATGTTGCTAATACTTAAGGTAGTTGAAAAGGTTTTCAACAACATAACTCTTGTTGCTGAAAGTGAATTTCAATAACAAAACACATATTGCTAAAAGTAGAGCTCAATTAATTCACCGGAATATATTAGCAAGATGGAGTAAGTTGCTGAAGCAACAAGAAGTGTATTGCTGAAAGTGGAGCAGCTTTTCAACCGGTGGAATGTCTTGTACAACTTTCAGCAACATAGGGCTTGTTGTTAATATATATTTTCAACAACAAAGAATCACATGTTGTTAATATATTGTTGCTAAAAATCAAAATTTTAGTAGTGAAAGCACTTGTAAATTTATGATTTTTTTTAACAATATTAATAGTTTAGCGGTATATTTTTTTCTAAAAAAAATAAAAGATTGCAAATTTTAATCACGTGACATGGTTAAAATGAGTTATGGAATAAAAAATAACGGCATCTCATTGCAACTAAAAAAAAAAAAAAA